AATTGTAGGATTACTTACCGAGTGTGTACCCTTTGACTACGCTCGTTGCTAAAGCTTGGTTTCGTCGCGGAACAGCGCATCAAATTGCGGCCGCGATTTCTGATATTATTTTTCTGCGAAAACTTCGTTGACCTTTGGAGACATCATTAATATAAATAATTTTTATGGCCGTTAAATAAGAAATGTTTCTTTCACAAGAAATGTATAAAATTACAGTACTTAACAGACGATAGGTCGCCTAACTCGCCGTAGCGTGACGCTAGACGGCGAAAAATATATATTTAATTATAATAAAGTTACAATAAATTAAGTTAATANAGCAGTGACCAATAAATATATCTGTCCAGGGCGACGTGTAGAAGTGGTGAGTGACGGATACATCCGTTAAATTCTTTTAGGGGTAACGCTAAAATCTAGCCAAAAACTACCGCGAAAAAAATTCACATAAAAATGAATTATGTAACAAAAAATGAATTATGTAACAACAAAGAAAAACTTTTATTTACTAGACACAACTGTTTACAAAATCTTTTTCCGAAACGGCAATGAGAAAAAACGTTTAAAAAATTTCTCACCTTTATTCTTCACTACATACAGATAGCATTATACCTGACTAACTCACTGCTGAAAGGTTATAGTCTTATACCCTTTGTCCGGGAAACAAGCTAGAAAAACATAACACCGAACAAACATTTTCGAATAACAAACACAAATACAGTAGATTTCCCTATAAGACTGGTTCCTATAATTACGATTCCTATAAGACGACGAAAAAATTGTGGCGGAATCCATACACAACGGTAAAAAAAACTCCTATAATTACGTAAATCGTCATCGGGCAGCCGAACTGCTTTCCCGCCGTCCAGCGCCACGGTACGGACAGTTTAGGTGAATAAATTGAGTTTAGTTTCGTCTGTACATATAATTATATATAAATTATATATAGATTAGGTACTGTACATATAATTATATATTAATTATATAAATTAGGTACTGTATATATAATTATATATTAATTATATATAAATTAGGTACTGTATATATAATTATATATTTATTTAATTTATTGTAACTTTATTATAATTATATATATATGCTTTCCGCCGCCTAGCGCCACGCTACGAAGAGTTTAGGCGAACTATCTTCTGTACAGTATGTAAATTAGGTACCGTAATTCTAATACAGTACTGTAATTTTATACATTTTTTTGTGAAAGAAACATTTCTTATTCAACGGCCATAAAGATTATTTATATTAATGATGTCTCCAAAGTTCAGCGAAGTTTTCGCAAAAAAATAACATCAGAAATCGCGGCCGCGGTTTGCTGAGCTGTTTCGCGGCGAAAACAAGCTTGAGCAACGGCGATGTCGAATATTGCACACTCGGTAAGTAATCCTACAATTTTTTGTTTATAGCGTAGTTTATACGATTATTTCCAAAAAAATATACGCATTTTGGAAATGTTGATTCGGATTATTCGAGAATCGATTAATTTTATGAATGAAAACGTTTCAATCAGCCATAGTCCGTAAACTTCACACGTATCTGGCTGTGATTGGCTGTGATTCCTACAAAATTGATTCATAAAGAACGGAACGTATCTACCGTCTTATAGGGGGGATCGACTGTACAGTAATTATAGTGCAATAAATATGATAATATCTATACAAAGTCCAACTCTGTACATACAAAAATTAATAATATATATAATGCACAGTAATTATTACATATATGTAACATACAGTGCATTAGTACAATTATAGTACATAAAATAATCCATAACAGAAATATAATTATAAAAACATTAATGTCAATCCCAAACATGGTAAGAAGAAAAAATCATCGGCCTTCCAGCCAACGCGGAGAAAAGAAACGGCTGGTACACCACTGATCTGGACGGTACCATTAAACATCTTTTCATCACCTATTTTCCTCCAGACAGCCACGAGGAAGATAAGTCAGAGAACAAAAATATCAGGAAAAAGTCCTCTACCCATTTATCATTGACAACGACAACTGTTCATATTTACAGAGGTGGGTGCTGCTATTAAATTTCTACAGAATAATATGGCTCGTGGCATTAACGGACTAACGGTCCGTATGGTAAAAAGGGCATTTTAAGCCATTTTTATTGCCTTCCTCTTTACCTTCATCTTGTGCCTAACCAGACACCAATTCCCAAAATGCTGAAAACACACTGTTGTGAAATTCATAACGAAAATTGGGTCTTCAACTTAGTCAAAGCCACAGATCTGAGATCGATTAGCCTTCTGCCCGTACTGGGCAATGTTCTTGATGGACATCAAATCAATAGAATTAACTACCATTTCAGGAATAACAATCATCATCAAAATCTGTTTGGCTTTGTCCACGGGATCTTTACCTATTGTGCTTTCCACCGTGTAATCCAATTCATAGACAGTGCTTAGAAAAATGAAGAACACATAGCGTTGATCTTAATAAATTAGAGGAATTCGTTTAACTTTCTGTGTTGGTCATCCTTTTTTTGGCAGTTCAAAAGCTTTATCTGTCCACAAAACACCAGCTATCTGAAGGGTTTTACTGCTGGCATACACGACTTGGGCACACTTGTCTTCTGGGCTGTCACCGAGGGTGACCTCAGGGTTCCCGGTCCAGGCCTAAGCTTTGCAACATCATATTCAACGACCTTCCCTGATGCGATCAGTGTGACCTTGGCTACCAGGGATACACTGATGATACTGTAATCATGAGGCCCAATGAAAAGAGTAAGAAATTCCTGCAAGTAGCCAACTCTTTTCTCAATCAAATTTCAGAGTGGAGCAACTTTAATAAATTATTTATTAACCTAGTAAGATCACCTGCATGTTCATGTCAAAAAGGACCCAACTCAATAAACCATACTCGATGAATGAGATAAGTACTAAGGTAAGATACACCAACAGTATGAAATACCTGAGCATTACTATCTATCAGGGTTTGAAATGGTATATTCACATAAATCTGAAAAACGCTTGTAAAGAAGGAGGCCATAAAACTTTTCAAGTTTTTCTGCTTTCCTGCTGGAAAAAAACTGGGGCCTCAACAAGTATTTAACGTCTGGCCATCGAAACTGCTATCTATACTTTATGGTGCGCCCTTCTAGGGAGACACAGCGAACTAAGTACAGTACTACATGTAAAAAAAATAAAAAAGTACAAAATATTTCAGATTTTCTAGAACATTTTAACACACGATTTGCATTGTTTGACTGATATTATTCACACTGGGGAAATTTCAACTGATAATTTGTGTTTTAACTTACTGTTTGAAACTAATGGCTTTGCCACCAGTGAAAACCATAATATCAGTAGTGACAATTTCTTCATATATGACAAAAGTACTTATTATTTTACAAACTATTATCTTCAATTGTTACTTTTCCATTAAACTATATATAATAATTTCAAAAATATTTAATGTAATCAGAATTTTATAACTAATTCATTAAAACAATATTTTCCTATTAACACTTACATAAATAATTTAATAATTACATTTATATATAACACAAAACTGTTGACATTTAAATTAATTTATTTAAAATTTCTACATGTGTAACATTGTAGCAGTGTTATATATGGTATAACGCATAACACACATTAATTCTTCAAATTTATGTTATTCGCTGCAATATATACAATGATTTCAATTAATCATTCACACGTTTATGGGAATGAAAAAGAAAATCAGACAGATGTTGAATTAACAGTTTACTATAAATCAACTATATACTATGGATTTTGTTATATAACGTCAAATATTAAGTGTTCCATTACAGAAGTAACAATAAGTAACACATGTCTGCAAATAAACAAACGGCATAAGATTTTTATACATTTTCTTACAGATTTCAACTTGGTAAATATCAAAAAAATACCAAAAATATTTTATCTCTTTAATTTTTGTTGTTATACTCAGGTTTTTGTTTGTATTTAGCGTAAAATTTGTAGTTAACTTGAAATTTAGTATTCTTTTTTTGTATTTAAAATGGCTTTAAAACTAAGACTTCTCGCATTAATTTTATGAATTATAGCTGGACTTGGTAATAAATAAATAAAAATGTTAATGGTTGAAGAGAGTATTGGTAGGGAAGGTGGGTTAAGTACTTTTAGCGTTAGGAGGAAGATCGCATGATTGTATAGAAAGAGGTTATAAGTTGATAGTGAGTAATATTATTGGTGAGGTTGAGCGTGTTTCGACATGTTATCTGGTATATTTGGAATAGATATAAACATCCTGCTGTTGGATTAGATCATGTGTCAATAAGCTAAATAAGTTCAGTATCTCACTGGCCATCTAATGCTACATTCAGTTTATATCCAGTATTCGAACGCTACTGCGCTTGTATTTTTATTTCTGGAATATGGCTCGCAGAGGTTGTGTAATTTCTTCCGACAGCTTCTGTTATGTTTGTGGTGAATACACAATGAAAAGTGAACAAAGAAACATAAGTGAGTTAGTGAAAAAAGTTTAATTTGCGTATTTCAAATTGATACTTGGAGATCAAAATAAAGCAAATTTTTGGAATGAATGAGAAAAAAAAAGAAGCGTGGGACTCTTGGGGGAATACTAAGGACTATGACTACGAAACCATTATACAACGCATGCTAGCAGCAGCTTATGAAGCTCAAGGATGCAAAATGAGCTTAAAAGTTCATTTCTTACACTCCCATACTGACTATTTTCCGAAAACTTGGGATCTTACAATGAAGAACAGAATGAAAGATATCACCAGGATGTCCGTGATATCGAGAGACGTTACCAAGGAAAATGGGATGTCAATATGTTAGCCAACAACTGTTGGATGCTCAATCGAGAATCTGCGATCTTCAGAACATATAATTCAGCAAAAATATTTCATGCAGCTGGAAAAAATTTTTTTTCAGACCTGTGTAATTAATATGTAAAAAAATAAAATAAATGAAACAATATTAGTTTTTGTCTGATTATTTTGTTGAACTTGAAAAAATCATAAATGAAGCTGAAAGTATCAGGAAATAATAACTGAAATATAGATATTCAAAACTAAATAGTAAACTTACTTTTGAAGTAGATCCCCAAGATACTGTGAGGTGTGATATTGCGAGGCTTCGTGTAAATCTTCTTCTTTCAAAATTTGCTTTCTTCCTTTGTTTATTATAGGAAAAACCCAGCTGTAAAGTAAACCAGTTACTTATTAATTAATCTTGTTTAACATAATTTTTTTGTACTGATAATTTTCAAGTGACTGTTGTTGTAGTTAACTTACAACGCAATGAACGATTTTCATCTATGTAAATCATTTATCGTTATCACTGTGATAGTTTATACAGAAGGAATTGGCAAAAGCATTTTAGTAAAGCAGTATTAATTAGCGTATAATGTATCATTATTAAATTAACTACTATAATTACAAATGTGCTTGACACACATTCTTGAACAAAAAGCTATATTTAATTAACGCAGTTGTTACTTTATATGTAGGACATGAAATTTATTTGCACAAATTGCATTTTTCTACTTTTACTGCTTTATTCCTTATCTAAGTATAATATTTTATACGTCATAACGTTTTAATGTTCTTGAAAAAACAAACGCATAAAAATTCAAAAATGAACACTTCAAGCACACATCTGACATGTGACACCAACATAGTTCTTACATTATAATTTGTTATTTTATTATAAAGTAACTTACGTGCAACAAAGCTTGATAGAAATTCAAAGTTTGAAACATTAAACGTAATTATTGTTATAATTTAAATTTAAAATTTGTTCCAAATTTATGACTATTTATAACGCATATGCGATATTATCACAACTAAACAGTTATGTCTAAATGAGTGTGCTTTAAACAAAATAAACATACAACATTGAAGTTCTAATAGTGAATTAAATAAATTAAATTACATCAATATTCGAAGTGATAAGGAAAGTGTATTAACAGAGTGGTATTCCTTTACAACTGAATTATTAAATCAGCCAGTGGTTGACAGACCATCAAATACATAATTCTCGTGCTGAAGTCTATCTGACAAATAGTTTAACACAACAATTCGATTGTAGACAAAAAGCAGAAATTGTACTCTTAAATTTCGTTTTTCGATTCAAATTATTTAAAATCTCAATACTACAACACGCTAAAATCTAATTACAATGTAAAAGTTCGTACCAAAATGTGAGTGAATATCAAGTATTTAACTTTCAAACATTAATTCCTAAAGCTAAAATAAATTAATTTATAATCACGTCAACAAATTACTACCATTAATAATTGTGGATGGTTTCAAAAATTGTAATAATTAAGTCTAAATGCAATAGATTATAAATGGTTGATCAATGGATCAAATATCTCTTAGATAAATAAACAATTGGCGAATTCGTATGAAGAATTTTTTTAAGTTTTTGAAAACAAAAGTTGATTCAAAAACAAGTAAATTTTATTATATGATATTATACAAATGCTACAAACTTGCTTTGCGTTCAGAATGAATATTTACTATTTACTAAATATTTAGAAATTATATTTAGGTACGTCCTGACACTGTTAATAAGTTAATTAAGAATTGTATCATTATTTACTAGAAAGTCACTACTGTAAAGTAAGATCATCTGTTCGGAAATGGGTCTTCAAAGAATTTAATTTATTGAAAAAAAAACATTTTATAAATACTGTTGTAAAATTTTCTCCACAAAAATCAATATAGAAACACTTTCAAATTCAAGATAAAAATATATTTGTTAAAAAATTCAAATAAATTCATAGATTTATTTTGACTGGCCATAGAACAGCGTTTTTCTTCTGTGGTTAAGAGATTTGTTTTAAATATTACTTCAGATTATTATCTGTTTAAATTATTCACTCGATGTGATAAACGTATGTGAAGATTTGCGAGGGTTAAATATATTTATTTGATAAATATTTTCATAATAATAACTTCCCATATTAACTGTCACGTATTATATATGATATTTAAACTATGTAACGTATAGTTTCAACAACTAATTTCTAAAAAGAAAAACATTAATACAATACAGAAAGAGTCTATTCTTGCGTTAAATATAATGAATATTTTTTCCCGGAACTATTGAGTGATTATTTGTATATTTAATAAAACTTTCGGTCAATTACGTAAAGTATACTTCAAGGTAAAAAGGTTTAGCGTGTTATCTTTGTTCGGGAAACCTTGAAGTTTCGTCAAAATGCAAAAAAAAGGTATTGTAAAACTAACGTAAAGATTCGTCACTAATATAATTCTAACTTAAAATGCTTTTTCATGTACTTAAAATTCTACAAATATATGCAAAGGAAGAATTACTTGCGAGTTGATAAATATATTAAAACTAATAATTTCCTACGGTAAAAAAAAATTTCAGAACGACTTGCTTAAATTTTCCGGAAAAAAGTATTAAGGTATATCAAGATAAAGTTAAAATTACTTGTAGCTTCACCGAATAAAATATATTATTTAAGAAATATCCGTCATATTATTTATGATGATTTGTTATAAACGTTCTTTCACAATACCGTTACAATCAACAATAAAGTAAATGATTTGTTTTATATACTCTTTCGCACAGGGGTGTCGTTCCCACTATGGAATGTATGGAAGACTCCATACATCATATTGTTGCAAGTATGGAATTCCATACCTTAGAATATTTAAAAAATTATAATCTAATGCAAGGCAAGGAACTTATGCTTTCTGTATGAAAAGAAATTTTTCCTTGGATGTTGACCAATCGAACTCTTACATAATCCAAAGTATCGAAATTTTTCTAACTCTAAGATTTTACGTGCGGTTATCGAGATAACGAAGCATCTTATGGACAACTAATTCAAAAACGCCTAATTTTTAATAAATTAGAAAATTTTCTTACCGTTAATTTTAAAAAATCTATTATTTTACATAGATTTTTGTGTGAATATTTTTGTGTGACTATTCATTGGTTGTAAAAAAACAAACACGAATTTATATAGTTACAATATTTTATTTACTATGTAAACGGGGGTCCTGCTTCCGCGCACGTATTTATGTAAACTGTCTAAAAGTCTCGCCACGTAGACTGACTTGGAAATTTTTATTGTAAAAAATAGTCTTTCAGTAACTGTGAAAGTGCGATTCGAATATTTGAAAAACTTTTTTTGCATAAAACTTTTGTGTTATATATTTTTACATTTTAAACTTTTGTTTAAAGATTATTTCAATGAATTATACAGTATTAAAAAAGCGTTGGATTCAGATCTTTTGGAGATTAACTTTCATTTGTTAGCTGTAACGACCTCTTTCTAATCTGTTTTGAATATATCTTATTTCCGTATTTTTCCAGGTTAATGAATGTAATTAATTTTTATTTGTTAGTTTTATTTTATTATTTTAAATTTCATTTATTTCTAATTTAATGGCATCAAGTCGTCACAATTTGTCACAATTAGCTTACTAGTNCTGATAGAGTATAAAAAAGTGTTGGATTCAGCTCTCTTAGGAATTAATACTGGTTTAATTGGCTGTGACGACCTCATGCTAATCTGTTTTGAATATATCTTATTTTCAGGTAAATAAACGTAATTAATTTATTTCGTTCATTTTTATTTGTTAGTTTTATTTTATTATTTTAAATTTCATTTATTTCTAATTTAATGGCATCAAGTCGTCACAATTTGTCACAATTAGCTTACTAGTTGTATCATGCACGGAATATTGCGTATATGTTATAATTACTGATATTATGTACGGACATTCTTTGTACAAAGATAAATTTTTTACTGTTATACTTACTGTATCTGTTTGTAATGCACAAAGTTTGTTCGTGTCACTATATTCTGTTCACCGTACATAAGGTATTTCTACATTGTACCAAAAATAACAAATAACAACTCATACAAAAAATTCAGTTATTAAAAATATACAGGTATACCTCGCCTTACGTCGGTAATTGGTTCCAGGAAAACGACTTAAGTCGAAAAACGACGTAAGTCGAATTTACTTGTCTCCGAATCTACTTGTCACTAGACTAAACTATAAATTACTATTCCCAGTTCTGTATTTTATTTATTAATGCATTTTTAATAATATATGGTTAATAAGAATCTATTTTAAGCTTACAAACAAATAAATTTTAGTTTTTAATAGAGTACAGAAAAAAGTAATCTAAATTTACGAATGCATGTACTGTACTGTAAATACAGTACATACTTGTAAATGTGTATATTTTAATATGATTTTATGTGCTTTAAACGCTTTTCTAGTGATATTACGACTTCAATATTTGTGGCGGACGGACGTAAAGTCGAATAAAATGACTTAAACTTGATTTTTATTTTTTCGTATACTTTTTTGACAAACGACGTATAATCGGGAACGACGTAACTCGAAACGACGTAAGTCGAGGTATACCTGTATTTATAACGTCTGAGCTGTAAAAACCGGTCGAAGTGTAGTTGTAAAAGTCTTGTTTATATAAAATTTGTTTCGATTAAAGTTTAAAAGGTTACACTTCAAAATATAACATAATTAATACTTATTTATATTATAGAATTTTAATTATTAATCAGATAAAATAATAATACATACCAGAAAAATATTCGAGAGAAAACACCAGCTGTATCGAATGGGTTACTTGTCTCTTTCCTGTCCATTCTCAAATAATTTCTCTCCTCTACAATTATCTGTACGATGCATACGTAGTCTTACTCATGAAGTCTATACATCTATCAGATGATATATAATACAGTATTTACTTTAATATTTGAATGTTTAGCGTGTTATTTTTTATCAGAAAACCTTGATGTTTCATCGGGATGTAATTAGCAGTTTAATTATTATTCCACTACATACAGATTTGTCACTGATATAATTTAAATTTAAAATGCCACAAAAATATACACAGAAAGAATTATATGACGATTAATAAATATATAAAAATATATTTTTATAATAAAAAAAATCCAGCAACCAATTCCTCAACTTTCCTGGCAGATAGTGCAAAGATATATTTAGATAAAGTTAAAATTATCTGTAGCACCGTTTAATATAAGATATTAAAAAATGACAGTTACGTTATTATTTATTATAAAATGGCAGAAAGCTTAATTTTTAAAATAGACATCAATTAAAAGAGACGCCCTTCTGTCTCCTCACTGCCTGACCTTCTGCATAGAGATGTACATAGGGAATAATAGAGCTTAAACCCTGGGTCTCCAATTGTCAAGAGCCTACAAAAATTGAATTATTACCAAAAATTTTTAATACTTTTTCATTCACAACGAGCACCATTCGTATAGTAAATATAGTTAATATTAATAATATTATAATAATTATAATTTATCGTATTATTTGTTTTATCGTAATCAATGTAAAGATTTTTAATCTAACAAAAACTGAGACCCCATTGGACTTTAATAAACCCTAACCTAGATCCGCCCTTGCTTTTAACTATTAAGTTTTATCATCATTCATGTTCCTATAATAGATAATTTCACAAATTTTGTTTTTTAATCGTTACCTCATTTTGAAATATTAAACGGAACAGACAGCAATACGCGCTTACGCACACAATCACGAACAAACCTTTTTCCTTATTTTTCTTTTCAAAAAACAACCGAAATGAAATTTAAAATATAGCAATCAATAATATACACGTGAAATGACATTTATGTAAAATTATTCAACAGTTATTCGTCTTTCCATGCAAATCAAGTACCGTTCACATTATTCGAGTAAATTTCATAAATGTTAAGCACATTGGGTAGAGATATCATCAATAATTTGAAACGAATTCATCGTTGACTATAACCAAATATTCAAAGCCATTTGTTATAATTTAAAAAATCCAGGAAGAAATATATTTTTCGAATAATGTAAAAATATACAAAAGAAAACGTTAGAAAATTTTTAAGCATTCTTTCTCAATTTCTGTTACAATCGACCGTAACGAGAATGACTTTGCTTAATAGCCTCTTCCGCGCGTGTATCTATAACAATTGTTAAAATTTCAGAGAATCGAATATTTAGGAAATTTTTATTGTAAAAAGTTTTCTGTCAATAATTGTAAAAGAACAATTCGAAGTCTTTAAAAAGTTTCTTTCTAAAGACTTCGAATATTATATATTTAGGTTATCCATATGATATGTATGATTATGCATACATATCATATGCATTTCTTAATATCATGCATATTCATGAATAATGTACATGATACGAATAAAATGTAAAAATCTCTTTTTACGTTTTAAATTATTGTTGTAGTTTAAAGATTATTTTAATAACCGATACAAAAAAGCACTTATTTAAGATATATTTATATTATCAGAGTTGTATAAACAGGTCGAAGTGCAGTTGTAAGAGGCTTGTTTACATAAAAAATCTGTGATATTTTTTACACCCGAGATGGGTTTGCATTTAATATTAGATTTATGTTTTGTCATGCACAAAGTTTGTTCGGTGTTTTCGTTATTATTCTGTTTACAGTGCATGCCGTATTATTACGTTGTACCAAATAAGTAATAAATACTAAGTTATACAAAAAATTCAGTTACTAAAAATATATTTATAATGTCTCAGTTCTATAAACCGGTGGAAGTGTATATGTAAAATTGTTATGTAAGAAATTATTACTTTTGTATCGCTAATTGCTACCTTTAGGATTTATTACTTTAGTTCATGTTTGCAACTTGCAATTAAAATTACTATAATTAAAAACAAAATAATAATAATAATTATGTAGCTTAATTTTAAGTTGTATGTTTATCATGAACTATTCATTTTTATTTCTTCGTTATAAAATACAATAATATATAACATAGCCAGAAAAAGACTTTTCGGATGGACCCGGATGGTTTCTTTCTCTTGTGAGGATCCGAATTCGGATGTGTTTATATCATCTCACCATAAGATCACATCGTAGTCATACTTTCATTCCTCGGTGTCATAAGATCACACTGCAGCTATACTTTTGTTCAAAAACTGTCAACTGTTACACCTGGGAGTTAAACATCTGTTAAGTTCTCAGGCGTAATAACGACGCTTTCTCATCACTTTTCGACCTAATATTTCCGTTTCAACAATCCAACATGAAAAACAGAGAACAAAATGAGTCCGTCGTCACCAGTTCCCCGATCGGACCACTCCAGTTACCCTGTGCCTCGCGTTTGGATATTTCTTCGCTTTTGGATACCTCCTCGCCTAATAACTGTGGAAATAAGAACTGTCTTCTGTCTTCTGAGTCCAGAACTATCTTCTTTTGTGATTTCATACAAGGTAATTATGGCCACGCGAACTTCTGTAAACTCTCTCTCTCATATCTTAATATCTAATACTTATCAAATTGAGAAATGTATCTAACAGCAGCCCTAATGTATAGCCTATCGTTAACCATTAAACAATTGTTACGTTAAAGAGTCTATGAGTAGGTCACTTCCGGTGCGCTGTCTCTCCTTCTATCTCGACTCTGATCGCTCCGTTACGCGACCGCTCGTGTGACCTAAATAACGCGGCTTCCGTGTTCGCCGAGACGCGGTGGTGTCAAAATCAACATATAAAAATTTAATATTAAACAAAAATATTGTTTAAAAAATGGAAAGTTGTATTAATTATAAAAATGAATTCAATTTCTGAGAGTAATGAAAAATATTATCGACGTACGTTTGTAATAATAATAATAATAAGCACAGAGCCCAAACGGTTAAAGTTCAATATTGACATATAAAAATTTAAAATTAAACAAACATATTNGTCTCTCCTTCTATCTCGACTCTGATCGCTCCGTTACGCGACCGCTCGTGTGACCTAAATAACGCGGCTTCCGTGTTCGCCGAGACGCGGTGGTGTCAAAATCAACATATAAAAATTTAATATTAAACAAAAATATTGTTTAAAAAATGGAAAGTTGTATTAATTATAAAAATGAATTCAATTTCTGAGTAATTAAAAACTTTATCGAGATGGGTTGATAATAATAATAATAATAATAATAATAAGCGCAGAGCCCAAATGGTTAGGAGTTTAAAGTTGAATATTACCATAGAGTTAGGGTACGTCACGAGAACGCACACTAGAAAGGGATTTCTTGAAATTCCCCCATCACGGGGGGAGAGAAAGAGTATTAAGGCTTACCCTGAAAAACTTGGCTTCTATTGTACTATTTTAAATGCGGTTTTTTGCGTTTATGCAGAACATAGAACATATTTTTAGATTTATCTAAAAATTCTCTTATTAGTCTGGAAAAAGGTAAACCTAATTCTTGGGTGATTCTGTGAGAACGAGTAAGATTGGCTTACCCGTTTTCACAAATAAACTTAATAATCTTAATTTTTTCTATCGTTACTTTTTGCCCGAGCAACGCAGGGCTTATCTGCTAGTTAAAGATATATTTATATTCTCTGAGTTGTATCAAGAGGTCGAAGTGTACTTGTAACTGTCTTGTTTATATAAAAAATCTATTATTGTTCCTAGATTAGATAAGAGTTGTCTTCTTTCAAATCAACTGTATAATATACATAAATATAGGTGGAATTAATTCTTGTTGTTAAAGAATAGGCCATACTGAACCCATTGCCAGTTCCCCTAACGTAGAAGTTTTGACTCGTAAAAATTGTCCAGAAAACGAAAACAATACTCCCAAGAACATGTAATTTGAGACGATCTGTCAAGCTGATAATTAAAAAACAATTTTTCTTTGGGTGATCGTTTGCAACCTTTCTTGAATACCATTACTTTTGTTATAGAAACATTTGTAGTCAATGCAAGATTTCTCCAGAATGGCAATTTTACTTTGTAACATTTTTGTCGTATGAGCAAATAGTACAGTGTGGTCAGCATATATTGATACAAGTAGTAGTGGTTTGACACATACTGATTACAAAATTAATTTTCTAATTACAAATATGAGACATATTGATTAATTCTTTGATCACAAATCATAATTAAATTAATTTTATTTCAACAATAATTTAAAATATTCCGTTTAACTATTAAATTTATTATAAAGTTAAATGTTACTAATTTCTAATAATAAGTTTTTAAATAAAAATATCTTAAGTGAATCGAAACGTCACAATTTGAAATAATATCACATCCAAAGAAAATTTTTTAGGCCATAGTAATCACAAATTGTTGGAATAAAATCGTCTGACATACGATTTCCCGCGCTTTTCCATATTTTCAAACGAACAACGGTTGTCAAAATGGGAACGCCAATCTGGCAACTTTGGAAACTCGACCGCGGATTGGCTGAAAGAGATCGTACGACCAGCGGACGTCTTATAGCGCTACTAACCGCTGATTGGTGGAATTTCATTTCTCTCAATCGGTATAAAAAGATTGAGCTTAGGCGGGAAGTTTAATTCGCCTAGGACACATCACGGGAACTCACTTTCGTCTAGCTTCGCCTAATCTGGCCTAGAGGATTGTTTCGTCTCGCAGTGTGGTAACTAACATTGGAAGGAGTTCGTCGCAAGGTGTCCTTTTCGACGGACCTGTTGTCGTGGATTAAAAGTATTTGAACTTTGTTACACCTGAAGTATTGCAATAGTTATTTGTGGACTTTTGTAACTGTATGTAAGTTTTACTCGTAATATAAAAGTTTTGTGGAAATTCAGTAACGTATCTTCTTGTGAATTTGACTCAAATGTTAATGAAATTAATTATCAAATGTTTTTTACGATTAATTATCTCTTCTAAGCGAGTAGGTGTCAGATTTTTT